GTTCAGCAGCCAGCACTATGCAGCCACTGGTAGTCTGGCATTTAATGACAAGAAATCATTTTATTTTACAAGAGCACAGAGCATTTCTAGCCATCCAGCCTTTATCAGGGTCACACTACAACTGCCTGTTTAAACACTGCACACAGGTGAAAACTCCTGAGTTAATTAGCCTGTACCTGGTTGAGTAATCATGGATGAAACATGCTGAGAACACAAGTAAAAGTGACAATATATTATGTTCAAACTCATGTAAAGCTTTCTAGGCAGGCTTCCTAATTTAACTGCAGTTAAATGTTCCATATTTTCTGATATAGACCTGTGGAAAAGTTGATTATGCCTTGTTTTTGACATCAGTGCTTTTTTGATGCAACTAAATTAGAAAGCCTGTGTGGGAGGTCCAGAAGTTGAACCATATTAATTCATTATATGCTTATGTCTGTATTCATTGTATCTGTTTAATTTAATTTTATTCACTATACTTATTATATTTTCTCTGTATTGTTGTGTATAAGGCTAACCATGAGGTGACCCCAATGGCCTTGAGAGAAAGAGAAAGCTTATCAGTCTGTTACTTGGGTTGCTGCCCAGACTAGACATCTTCAGAGAGGAAGAGACAGAAGGAGCCTTTTTTGATGTTATGTTGAGAGTCATTAATTTTGCTTATTTGTCTGAAAGCTGACAGCACACAGGTCATTAATCTGTCTGGTGACCTCAAATATGTCATCTGTGGATACTTGTCACAGTGTCATCAAACAAATATTGTCCGAGTGTCATCTTATGACAGATTACTGTATTCGCTTGTCACTTCTTGATGGGTTGGACATATTTGTATGACAGGTTGACGTATTGCATGTCACCTTAATGATGTTTTTGACATGTTTATGATGTTTGGATGGTTTGAAGTGTACCATTAATCAGAAACATGTGTCAAGAAGGTATTGTTTGCTCATTAGTAATGTCAGTCATGTAGCCTGAGCCTGTCAGCTTGTCATTTATCACTTGCATGTTTATTAAAGTTGTTTCTTTTAATTTTAGAATTAATATTTAGCCAGAAATAATGACATATTAAATAGCTTAGAATTGTATTAGAAAGATATCCCAAGATAGAAACAGTGGCATTTTAAAGTGAGGTCTTTGAAGGGGAAGCAGTTGTACTGTGACACTGATGAACACTCGATGGCCAAAAACATTCTGTCTCATTGCAGAATAAAGTGAATTCTTGCCACTGAGTGTGATACTATGTTACTTGATAATACTAGTGGGATAACACCAGTTCTTTCTGGAATCCGAATAGGAAACATGCTGGACCCCACCTGATGATTTATCTAATTTATTGTGTGGATGCATAAGCATCCACACTATGTTATGCAGTTCTTTATTGTGTGGATGCATAACTGCATCATGTTATGCAGTTCTTCTGGTTTCCACCATTGTTCTTTAGCATCTAATTTCTGCAGCATACTTTCACCTAGAAGGGCCATTGAGGAATCAAACTGTTTATCTCCTTAAGGACATGTGTGCTTGTATACAACTTTTTTATAACTTTTATACTTTTTAAGATATTCAGCTTTTTTTACAGAAATTTCCCCATTGGAAATGAACGAGGCAAAGTTTGAAGCTTAATATCTCCGGCATACCTTGGGCTAGAAATGCCATTTCAACTTTATTCAACTCGTGAGACATTCAGCCACCAATGGTGCAAAAATCATCTTGATATCTTTTATGGTTGTTTTTATAATCGACATTTATATGTTGTCTATTTGTCCATAGACAACGAATGGGCCAATACTCTGCAATGCCATTGGCAGCTGTGCGTCACGTGACCCCCGGTCTAGCAGCTATTTCTATGCTTCTCCTCTTCCTCATTGCTTTTGTGCTCCTATTATGCCATTCTTAAGCTTTATACACATATAATAGATGACAATCGTAGAGAAAATGGTCACGATTTCAGCTTTCAGTGTTACTGAGATGGGATGAATGGTATTTGCGTAAGCTGCACATTCCAGGCATACCGTCTCACTGCTCCATAGACTTACGGTCAATACAGAAGATCC